CCCCGGCAAACAGAGCGACGAAAAATTGTCGTTACACACCTTTAAAAGTGTTAAGCTTTTAATGAATACTGTCTTATTTTGACACTATCTCAGTTATCTTGGCCAAAAATAAAACAACTAACCCCACTAATATAATTTTATTTACTATTTTAGTAAAAAAGCAAGAATTTATATATATATATATATATATTTTATGTCAGAGATATCGATTTCTTATATAGTGACGCGTTTAACCTGGAATAAATACATAGAGGCTAAAAAGGCTCAACTAAATATAAAATTAAGTTCATTGCATTGGCTAATGGGCACGTCATCTAAGCTGCTACTTGAATACAGAATTCTGCTATACAAGTCGATAATAAAACCTATATGGAGTTATGGAATTCAAATGTGGGAACAGCGATGCCATCTAATATTGAAAAACTGCAAACAGGTGCACCGCGGTTTATAAAAAATGTTAACCTTCAGAGACTTGGGCGTACCAACAGTAATAGCCATCAGTACCTTTTAAAGTTAGAAGATCATCCTAACAAAGAAAAAGACTACAATTAACATCTGTTAACTTCACTTAATTTTTATTTTATTTAAAATATTACAAATTTTATTGGACAAAATTGCATGTGATTTTTAATTTGATTTACTTAATTCAACATAATTTTATTTTAAATTATTTAATGTCTTAATAGAGAAAATATAAATTTAGCTTTTCAGATTTGGTCCGTTTATTGTTAGTTTCAAAACGAAAGATTAAATAATTTTTAAATTAAAAAAAAAAATAAATAAATAAACACTATTATCAATAATGATTCTTGCTCATATATTATATGCTTAACGTCGTATGTTATATACCTTGTATTATATATTACGTACAGTAAATTAATATATGTTAGAATGTAAAACTTTCTTAATAAGGCTATCAAGCGTTCTGCTTGATTTGTTTAGTGATTTTTGATTGAAAGAAAATGTAAAGAAATATATACGTATATATGTATGTACTTCTGTAATATATATTTATATTCATATATATAAATATATATGTACATATGATATGAATACAGATTTCATCACTAAAAAACGTAAAAATTTCTTTTGCTATATGCAAATACTATTTGTTGTAATAAAAAAATATCTTATGGAATTGTACATTTGTTACAAATTTGGAATAAAAAAAAACTATAATTGTAGCCTGGATTTTCTTCTGTTAAAATTTTATTGTGTTTAGTCCCGTCGCCGAACTAAATCAGAAGAAAAAATTAAATTTTAATATTAAAATACATTTCGAATTTTTTTATATTAATTAATTAACTTACAATTTTAAACTGATTCCAAAAAATATTTCATAGAAACTATTTAATTTTTTATTATATTCAAACTGCATGTAACAGAAGGAGATTACTTCAGTTTGTTGCTTTATAATACACATTGAAGTATCAGGTTCCGATACTCTCATTGAAGTGAATCGGGTTCCGATATTCCAAAATAAAGAAAGTAGTTTTGTCTGCAAAAAAACAAGAAAGGGAAAATTTATTATAAAAATATTAAAATTTAAGTACTGGCTAAATAGTACAAATCAGACCCTCATTGAAGTAATTTTGGTGTTTCAACCACCCGGAAATGATAAAAGCTGTTTAGTCTATAGTTATCTATGGTATGTTATAATACAGATCAGCCCTCATTGATGTAAACTGGATTCTGATTTGTCAATCACATCAAAATAATTAAAAATGTTTTGTCTATATATTATTATTTCATAGAATAATGCAACGGAATCAGAAATGGTCGCGGTGACACTCATATAGTTTAACAACTCCCAATGCTAATGCTATATTTAAGAAGCAACTTTATCATATGTAATAAAAGATGGCTACAAGATCAGATCTTAAAATCAGAAATGTTTTGACTAGTAGCATTTTGCAACTGTTTACTGTCAAATATAAAGAGAAATTCACAAAATGATCGGGTCGGTCACTTAAGGCCGCTATGCCATCAATTATTCACAAGTCTCAAGATTTTATTTTGATTGATTGATGAGTTAAATTGGGCGAGCTTATTGCGGGCATAGATGAAATAGCATCATGATTTAAGCCTTAACCAAGGTATTAGATATAAAAAACTGAATAAAATTAGAGTGTCAATGTAGAATATAAGTGTGACTGTTTGACTATTTAATAATATTAAATGATATTTAAAGACAACGGGATGAATTTTTGTATCTATATATTGCTGTGATCGAAATATGGGACCATTTTTGAGCATTCTAATTGATAAAATATTTTAAAAAGTGATACGGAACAATCTATCAAAAGCACTTTAATTTGAATTTTTCAATTTTTAAGATAAGAAAAGCTTCTAATGAAAATTTAAGTCATACATTAACCAAATGTAAATTGTCATTACCTGAACTCCAATCAATTCACGCCAGCTTTTATTATTATTAGTTAGTATTAAGGACTATATGTCTATGAAGCACTTCTTAGTTGTATTGTTTTTAACCATTCCATAGAGCAACTATATACCAACTATATATTTTATTTCCATTACTCTTCAATTTCGTATATACGTGCTACCAAACAAGATCCACGTCAAGGTAACTAGTCCTTTTTTTTGAAATATAAATGAAAATTTCAACTCTTGGAACCGAAATAATACTCATTACCTCAAATACAATGATTTTAGTATCATATTTTTAGATAATGAATAGTCATACACTTATTGTAAGCACCGTATATAACAGATCATCTATGCATCATCGATTACATTTCATTCAAATTTCCTAGGGAAGTCAGTGAAGTCAATCCAGTAAGATAAAGGTTAAGTTAATCGATGGTGATTTTTTAATACAATAATGAAATATCCAATGTTTTGAAATGAAAATGGTTATAAAGCTGAATAAATTAAAACGTTTTAAGATACACATGGTGATAAATCCTTTAACATGCATGTAATTAATCTTCCACACATCAATTGTCAAAAATACAACTCACAGAACAACCATGCAAGCTTCTATTTGTTCATTACAGTAATATGATCAGCTATCTTTTCCAAAATTCTTAAAAATTGATTTAGAAGTCTTAGATGAAGATGGATGAATTGATGAATGATCGTACATTTACAAATACAGTTATTTACTCTCAAGTTTCAAGTGATAAGTTTTCACGCACTTATTAAAAACATTACATACTCGTATCGGGGATCATAAATGTATCATTGTTTCCGTTTAGTTTTATTTAAGTGAAATTTTCCAGAGAAATCAATCGAGTTAAACAACTTCAAATTAACAGATGTTGTATGTTCTGAAATAAGAAGGAAAAACATTTAAACATCTAAAGCAAAAATAGATATTAAACTAAAAAATTTATATATTACGTCTTTTGATAAATGCCATTACTTGAAGAGGAATTAAAATTGAGCACGCAAGTAACTAATCCTCCATACATTTACGGCAAGAAACACAGGACATTCTCTGAAGTTCAGAAAGTACCTGATGTACACTAATGTAGTTAAGAAAAATTCAATTAAACAGTTTGAATCAAAATAGATACTTAACCTCATAACGTGATTTAAATCTCAATAATTAAAAATTTTTCTAAAAATGATTATTACCTGAAACAAAACTATTTCAGTCTCAAATTTGAAGATCATCATACATATTACAAGAGCATCTAAAAATCATCGTTTCTATAAATTTCCATTTATGCATATATAGTCTTCTTAAAAATTATTTGCACAATCATCTCATTCCAAAACTTTACACCAATCAATAGTTTGTCGTTTTCAAAATGTAGACTATGCTATAAAATATTAAAATAAGAAATTTTACAAATTGCAATCTAATAACTTACAAGGAAATGTTGTAAATTTTATCAATGCTGGATCTTTACGTAGACATCTCATTAGTCTAGTAGTATAAAACACTCAATTAATCATGATTATCTTATCATAATAATGAAATACACTCGTATTAGCTCGGTTAGATGTCGATACCAAATTATAAGTTTCCACCACATTTTTTCTACTAATATAAACGTTGAGTTGATGTACCACACACACCCCACACACCCCCGACCAGCAGTCTATCTTCTGAAACAAGAATTCCTGATTATTACAACAGCCACAACAATATAATAACAATAAAATAAGTACCTTGGTGTGGGCACACTTAATATATTGATTAAATATATCAAATGCGATAATGTACCAGTCTTCTACCATTTTGTCAGATGTTATTTTGATCTACTTTGACTGGTCACCTGTATGGTAATATGTAGATCTTCGCCCGCCCACCCTTAGAACTCGTTTATTTTAGGTTTGAAATTGGTGCTGGAAGTTTTCCAGCATCGCCGCATGCATAATTTCACCCCTGACGCAGTATACTGGTTTATATACTAGACTTATGTCATTAAAGTCTTGTATGTGGTACATCAACTCAACGTCCACCTGTCTGCATGAACAGGACGCCAGGAAATGCGGATATGGTGTGTTGCTCTTTTGGTAAATGTTCACTTCTTTCAGTTCCGGCTCTGCACTATGCGTTACGACTATAATAAGACTTTCAAAAGGAACATTTCGGGGCATAATTTTTCCTATATTTGTAGTATTAAACATTCCTACTGCATCCTCTTGGGACAATTCACGTACATCCAGATGCTCCATTTCTATTTTCCCTTCTCTGCTTTCGTTTTATTTAAGTATCAAATCTTCTTCCCTTCTTATAGTTCGAATAATTTTGAGAATGCAATATTTGGAACCAATGTTTGAATTTATAATTTCTGAAAATTAAAGTCAAAATTATATTTTATATTGTATATATATATTACATATATCACATATATCTTAAATTCATGCGAGCAACGATACTATATAATGCATAGAAATAGTACAAGTAGAGGTTAATAATGTTGCTTAATAATATGCAAAACAGTCCTTAAAGTTAATCCACAAAGTCAAGGATATGAAATTTGAATAATACGGTGAGAGCAAAGACATTCCATGTGCTTTGCACTAAAAAGCAACGGGGCTAAAGGACACGTTGGCACATATATTAAATAACAAATTCAATATGTTCACTATAGACTAAGCCACTTATAAGCGCATATCCTAAACTAATTATATATCTTTTAGTTGAGTTTTTTGCCTATCTTTAAAAATATTGTTTTTAAATAAATTTTAAATGTTAAACATTGAATACTCACATAAAATATAAATTTGTAGTGTTAAAATCTGAACTCAGACATTCAAAATTAATTAATTAAAAAAAATCTGATATTACTAATTATAATAGCTTATTGATCTATTGGGTTTATAGTAAAAAAACGGTGGAAATAGAACTGAACCAAATAAAATTCATCTTAATTAAATTTTCACCTTAATTTAATTAAGAATAAATTTCGATTATTGAGTTCATACGGAAGTCATATGATACTCTCAGTTAATGTTGGGCGGCAGTGCCATTTCCCAGAAATTTCAGGTGAAAACCTTCTTAAGCAAGACTAACTCGTAGACATATAAACAAACTAACGGACATCGATAAGTCAAGAAGGTAACAACGACATACATTTTCATGGAGCACTCCTCACGGTCTTTTTAACATTACGTGGGCAAAGCATATAACACGAGTAAGAAGATTTTCTTGATTTTGAATTTTATTTGTGATGATACTCTAATATTAATTAATTAAACCACGAAACATATGCATATGTGAAATTAAATTGTTTATTAATAGAAATGGTGATTCACTTTGTATTTGAAAGTTCTTACCTGATGGTAGTAAAGGCCAAAAGAAAATTACTAGGGACTTGCTTGTTTTTAATGTTTATTCCATACCCAAAATTATTGAATTTTGAATTCAATCCAAATTTTAATAACTAGGCACCAAAAATTGTTGTATTAGTTTAGAAATGTAATTTTTTTAATTTTATTTTTACTAAATATGATTAACATTAAAAAAAAAAATCAGGCTACTTGGGAAAACAAACTTATCAGACAAAGTAAAGTTAAAGCTGAAATGAATATCGTTATTAACTCCCTCCACGCCTATTGTACATGAACGGCCAACGTTAAATAAACGAATTAAAGATGGCCGATTACCAGATCTGTTATTGCTTTATTTTAACTTATAATAAACACAACAACAAATTCAGTGAAATTAAGCAATAAACAATATAAACAAAAATATATTGAGTTATTTAGAAATTTTTGCAATTAAATTTTGATTGCAATTAATTAGAACACAAAACTTACAGATAAAACTTAACCGATTCTTAATAAAAATAGTGGTTCGCTTTATATTAAAAGTACCTTACCTGATGGTAGTACAGTTCAAGAAAAGTTGCCAGGAAATTATTACAGTTGAAATGCTTATTCCGTACCAAAATGATTTGTTTTCAATCCAATTCAATCCAAATGTTGGCTTATAAGAGAACAAAAATTTTTTTATTTTAGTTTTTGGCTCTGTTTTTTGTTATTCCTAGAATTTACATTTTTATGGAAAAAACCCAGGCTACTCCAAAAAGCAAAAAATTCAACTAACGAATGGTGAAGTTGAAGATATAAAGAAACTCTAAGAAAAAATAAACGTTTCTACCGCCCTCTATATGACAAACTTTATTTACAATATTATAAGGAAGCGTAAAAAGGTTAAAGGGGTGTGGAGAAAAAATATTTCCATTTTATAAATACGTTATATATATAGCTATATATTGTATAGTTTTGTTTTTAATTTTTGAGATGTTCGTTGAAATTATTTTTAAGTCAATTTTATTTTTTTAAGAATATTAATTTATATTTGGAGCGTTAATTTATTATATGTTAGTTTTTAATATTTTTAAATTATTTTAATTTTTTAATATTCTTAACATAAGGAATCCTCCTGATGAAGCCAAAAGCGAATTCACCGAAATCGTTTAGAAATATATAAAAAATTTACGCTCGAAATAAAAGAATATATATTATTTTTTATAACCAAAATCACATTGTCTATTTACCGTGTTTCATATTAAATCCCCCTATTCGCTTTGTTATCTACACCCTTTCCTAACGCAGTGTTCTGTTTTCGATTTGCATGCTATTGACACAAACAACGCAATATTGTCAACGTCACGTGATTTCGCGATTATTAACTCCATCTTCCTCTATCTATAGTTTTTCCACACCTTTTCAAACACAGTGTTGTATCTGCGAGTGATGTATTGGATACCCTTGACTTCATGTTCTTCAAGCATCATATTCTAAGTAATTTATTCAGATAGGTGCTATTGATTGTCAGATGTTGCATTTACCGAGAATGCATAGGACATAAAAAACTGTTTTCAAAAGAGATGATCTGAATGTAGACATTGATATTTGTGGTAGAAATATATGTTTTACATAATAATATATTAAAAATTAATTTAAGTGAATGATCACAAGTATTACTTTACAAGTACATAGTCTTTTACATATCGCAATGATTTCGAATATATGTAATGAACTGACAAAATAATTCAATGCTTTTTTTTCCGGTTTACACTTCAGTAAGAATGTTTTTTTTATTACAAATCGATCACTATACCGTAACTATTTGGAATTGGTAGTGCTTTTGTGATCAGAAAGCTGTCTTATGAAAAGGAAAGTAACAATAATACAATGAACTTGCAGTTGATCTATTCCAGATTCTAATTCTGTTTGGAACATATGTGCCAAATGAAATATGTGCCAAATAAAGAGCTGAGATGATTCTTGTAAGCAGCAACTATTATTTCTGAAGAGTTTTATTTCAGCAAAAAACATTTAGATTAGATCGGTTACTCAGACAAGATCTTAGACAATAACATCATCTGTGCCGTGCCAAAAACTTTAAGTTCTAATTATCAAAGTACTTTAAACAATTTTATTGATAATAAAATATTAACAACACTCAAACAATTTTTTCTTATTATTCTTTGTTGATGATTTTGTCACTGTATTCATATTATAAAATTCTTTCTATATTTTGTATTAAACGAAATATAGTAAATAAAATAAGTATTATATATTCTTCAGCGGTCAAATATTTATCATTAACAGCTGTAAAAACGTGGATGAAATTTTTCAAACGAACTTAAGACTGAAATAGTTGTGCCATAAGCAGTCAGTTGACTCGTTTTACATTAGAAATAATCATGTATTTAATTATTCGTTATAATAAATAGCGTTAAATGGATAACAAAATAAATCATATTTATTTTTCAAATAAATAATAAATTAACACGTAGATTATTTTTAATATAATTATTGATTCTTAAATACCATAAAATATAAGTTGATTGAAATTATCTTAATGACCAGTTACGTTATGATTAAAGAACACCTTATAAAGTTTAATGTTCTTTGGTTACGGTTGTAATTCAAAGCAACATCGTCACAAAGAAGAATGTAAAATATGGATCAAGTTCAATGCCAAAAGAAAGTAAAAAAAAACTACTGGGTAAGCGTGTAAAAAATTAAGAGTGTGATAAAATGTTCAAAATAAATTAATTTATTAAAACTTAATACTGCATTATAATGAAATAAAAATATCATGGCTTAAATAACATTTGTAATAAATGAAATGTGTGATGTGAAATCTATTAATTAATATTATGCAATTAATAACATTTAAATAGGATGACCAAAAATAGCAAATAAAAACAATAAATTTTTTTGAAGTTCTAGTATTTGCAGAAATCTGTATCTAAACAAGGTACATTTTATTCCTTAAAATCTAATATAAGGTTCTGTCATTATCTTATCTCGTCTTGTGTTTTATCGAAATATTTTGACATAAAAACTGCACAAGAAAAAACAAATATGCTTTATTCTACTTTTCAGTGTATTTTACTGGTCATTGTAATCATATATAGTGTAGAGCAATTGGTGGAACATATTTCGGCATGAGGTTGTTGATAAAATGAAAGCTAAATGAATAAAGCAAATTTGGCAATATACACAAGAAGTTAGTGTTGGTAATAGTGGTACTCTACTGCAGTAAACGATAACGTCGTTTTAAGGATAATATTGATATCAGATTGATTACAGAAACAAGGCAGTTGCCATACTTATTCAACGATATTAGTGATCCAGAAAAATTAAACGGCATACAATATAAAAAAATTATGTTATATATATATTGTATTATATGTATATTGTAGCTACGGGAACTTCATGACCATCTCAGCTGCAATTTTAATTCAGTCAAGATGAAATATTGTCAAAAAATAGAAAGCGTTGCAGTAAGCCAATGAAAACAGTATCTCAAAGGCAACGTTGGAGTGTTTATGTCGAAGCTCAGGTTATGCTAACCATTGTTCAAATATTTGAATTGATCTATTAATTTGCATAAATATACAAAGTTTTGAAAAATTTTGGAGTCCGGCAATTGCGTCGATATTTTCAATATATAATACAATCAAGGGAGGGATTGCCTCGAGGTGAAAATTAGTTATTAATGATTGAGTTCACCACTCTAAGCATGGTTCGCGCAATCCGAAAGCAACAGTACTTCTCTTCGATGTATCTAATTCATCTGAAGGTATGTTACACAGCCATATAAAGCCTTTAAATGTAATATTATAAATAATTCAAACTCAATAAGCAGTTCAGAAATACGGAACACTATCCGATTGTAAGGATTGTCATATTCCATAACGATTATCATAAAAATTTCAACGCTATAGTTAAGAATAGCTCAAGAGGATGAAGAAACTCTAATGAAAAGCTGCGATACTTTACAAGACTTTGTCATTTAATACCAATTTGGAAGCATACTAGCATATGGATGTTAGCACACGAGTAACTACTTTTTCATATAGAGACCAATGCAAGTGCAATATTCATTTGTAGTGGCCACAGAAATAAGTTAGAGTTGGGTAAGTTGGATATTAGATTAAAAGTATCTTATATGACTTTTTAAACTTAATTTAAGCTACAAACTGTAGATATAAAGTACTCAACCATGTTATATAGTATTATTTTAAATATATAGAAAAACTTTTTTTAATTATTATTGGGCATAGATCGTTAATTTAATTAAGCCCAGTAATAATTAAAAAAACCTATCGATAATTGGTCGTAATAACAATTTTATATTTATTGAATAACAAAATAATGAAAATTAAGGAAATAGTCTAAACTTTATATTGATATAATTGTCAAATGAACATGTGTTTTATGATGCAAATTGAGGAAAATTTATGTTTTTCTAATTTATATTATTTATAAAAGTCATTATCAAATACATTTAGTATGTATATGTGTAACCTGAAACTTCTATGTAGTGTAAGTTTTAGGTATGGAAATGATTAAGGCTTTAAAAACCATGAAAATCATATGTAATCTTGCTCTGAATGATATGACGAAGAGATATGGACATCTTTCGGTTATAATTAAAATACGTATAGTAGTAATTGTCTATCAACTGGAAGACAATCCGTAAAAACTTTGCACATAGACTATTTGTGAATTAAGGTGGTTTAAGTTAGCACATGGTAAAAATTAGCTAAGTCTATCACATAATAATGTTCATGCAAAACACCATTCCAAGTAAGCTTATATTAATGAATTTAATTTCCAATTAAATTGAGACATAATTCATCCGCTCTTTTCCGCAATCAAGCATTCATATAGAATAACATGAAATAATAGCTAAAATGTCATGTTTTAAGCAAATATTAAGTAAATGATTTGTAGCTATGTGTGAATAAAAGTCCATCCACTTTTTCAGGTGGAACTTTTTCAGGTACCATTATCTGCGAATGTTCCGGAATTAGTTTCTGATTTGGCAAAACAGGAGTTCAATGATCAGACACCCCCACGCCTAAGCAACTAGGATAATATATGAGCATGTTTGCTATTCTTAGCCTCGTAATAATTAATTTATTAATGCTATCGGCTTTAGACACACTGAATTAACTTTTGAGGATTAATTTTCGCTTGTGTTTACGTTTGGTGGAATTCGCAGATTTATATTTTCTATATATAAATTGTGCTTAGTTATGTGAGTGTGTGTGTAAAAAAACATTTCTGTAGGAAGTTGGGCATGTAGAAAATTTTTATATGTATTTAGTTTAATTATTTTTAATTGTTTCAAAAAAATTAAACATTTTAATTCTAATGATTGCCTAAACTGTTCAAGAAGTGTTATAAAAATGGTTTTTATTGAGGGGAAATTGATTTATTATGTCCAAGCACATTATAAATAATATATTTTGTTGTAGTTTTAATGGTGATATTTGTATGTATGCATACACACGGGTGTGTGATGGTAAATATTCCGCTTATTGAGAAATCTGAGAAATTTAGTATTATTTTTTAATTTTAGAAATCAAAAAGGTTAAATTTAATAAATTGTGCATAATGAGAACATGTCTGACTATGTCTGCTGACTTTATTTCTTTAGTCAATTATGTTCACGAATTTTTGTAAAGATATTTTTGTTTTTGAAGGTACATCAGCTGCACAAAGGAAGTGGGTGTACTTTGTGCTGTGAAAAGTACTTTTTATATACAATCAAACTTCCATAACTCGAACCAAAAACAACGCATCAACTTTTTAGAGAACTAATTACATACAATTCTGCTTCCATTACTCGAACTTCTATAAATCGAATTTCTCTATAACTCGAACAAAAATTTTCTCCGAGCCGATAGGAATATGGGAAATATGGGCATTTTATTATGCACTCGATTCTAAGTGGAACGAAAAGTAATGATGAGGGTTCGGTGGATGAAATTGTTCATAAGCCTTCTAAGAATAAAGTAGAAGACTCATTCAAAATTCTGAACTTTTATTTACAAACAAATGATACTCCAACTGATGATCACTATAAGGCATGAAATAAATTGGAATCTTTTTTTACTGAAAATAAGAAAAAAAATAAAATCTCAAACACTAATTTCTAATCATTTTACTTCACTATAAATTCAGTGCTGTATTTGATTTTAAATAAATAAATAAATAAATATGTATCTTAAAATACAATTCTAGTTTCTTTAAAACAAAAATAAAAAATTCTCTAACTCGAAGTCTCCATAAGCCGAACCTTTTCTTTGCAAAATTGGACTTCGGGTTATAGAAATTTGACTGTATATGTGTATCTGTAATATCCGCACTATTGAATTTATTATATATATATAATAATCAAAGTTAGTGATTTAGGTGTCAATTAGTGATTTGATTCTTTTCCTCTACCTCTCCTTTTATGTACCTCCATAATAATTGAATTGAAGAAAATAAAATTTTTTTTACAATTTTCATATTCATGTGATTGCGTGCCACTGCCACAATTTTAAGGCGGCTTTGCCGAAGCCAAGCCTCAATTGACACATGCAACACAGTTTTGCTAGTGAATCTCTGCCATATCAAGCTAACAAGCTTAAGTATGCAATATGC